GGGGGGGGTTAGCACACTTAAAAATCTTTATATAAACATTTTATCAAGGTCTTTCTAGCATCGTTCATTTTGCACAGTGGTAGATAGTATACTCATAGAATCTATACAAATCCCAATTTTTAAGAACTTTTTACTTGCCGGGGACTACATCAAGATTTATTTTATTTAAAAATTCAAAAAGTGCAGATGTAAGCACTCTTAGTTCAGTTTTGAAATAGCATGTATTAAGTGACCATCAGAGGTGTAGCAGCTCAGCTCCTCACCTAGGGCAGCTGCACTGCGCTCATGGCAATACCAGCTCCTGCTATGATGACTGCAGCAGCACATTCAGCCACTGTAGTGGCATTGAATGCTTTTTCACGCCCCCACAAAGTCAGCATGTGTACTAGCCACACCTCTTCACTAACTATATCTACACAAGACACTTACTGTACAGTTGCCTAATTAACTGCATCTACACATGAGCCCCTATTAGGTCAGAGTAAACTAATTTACTCTGCAGCTGGATAGTACTTGTAAAAATAAGTATGTAGACACTGGAGGGGCTGGCTGGGTCACAAGAGTGCTTCAGTATGGGAGCTGCCTGCTGGCTATCCTTGCAGTGAAGCACCTTTGTGCCCCAGCCAGGCTCTCCTCAGCTCATTGAGCCAGGGAGAGCAGCCCCAGACTGGCAGGCTGACTCCCTGGCCTCCTGCCAGCTGGAGCTGCTTCAACCTAGTTCAACATGCACACATCCAAATGGCATGCCTAGGAGCGATAAACTCTGGAGCAAAAAGCTCCAGAATTTATTCATGTGCATTAATTGCATGTGTAGACATGCCCATTTACTTCATTGTTAATGTACTTGCTGAAGTCAAGGATTATTTTGTGATATCTCTATTATAACAAATGTATAATTGGGAAAGCTGCTAGACATATTTTCTAACGTCAAGTGCCCTTCCTCATGACAGACCCAGACATAGGCTGAGCTAAACAGCATAGCAAAGACTCTGTGTAAACACAGATAGTTTGCTTGGAGAGATGAAAGAGGGCTGTGAAGTGGAGTAAAAGTAGAATAAGAATTTAACCATGAGAAACACCTTTGACACTGGGTATGATATTCAGGACCCAATATTCTTCTAGTGCTTTAGAAGAAGTCCATTTGAAGTCAATGGAACAGATTACAAGGTAACACAGTAGTCAGTAAGGCTGAAAGGCTACAAGGCTCATGGGCAGATATGCTATTAGGTGGCAAAAATCTTCAAACCAGAGCTTGAGCTCTGATAAATGTTCAGCCAGTGGGGTTTATTCTTGGAAGTTACTCTTCATTTTAACAGAATCAAATCATTTATATATCTCACAGGATGCAATATTCAACTATCTATCCATCTCTGATACACAGAACTGTACCTGATAAGCAGGCATTCTGGTTTTCTCTGATAAAAAAAAAAAATCCCCAATTTTCCGATTAAAAAAGGTAACCCCAAATCCACATTTTCCCCGGTGCAGCACCTGCTTCCTGCCCACAGGCCCTGGTGCAGCTGTACTTGCAGGGGGTTGTCCAGTGTGCTACCCAGGGCAGGCTGCAAACCCGTTGGACCAGCAAGTCATGTTAGGGTGCCTTAAAGCATGCACGTGTAGACACGTGCCTCAATTGCCTTAATGTGCCTTAGGCTAAGGTCCATTAAGTTTAGGCACACACAAATTCACGGGTAGACACACCCTATGAATCAAAACCTAATAGATTTCATAAACTACTCAACGTGCTAAACAGGAATAAACTCCAGAACAATATTTTAAATTATTTCTTTCAGCTCCAAGGAACACAGTGTTTTGTTTTTTCTTTGTTAGATCACAATACAACAGAAAGTAAGGGAAAACTACTGTAATATAGCATCCAAACTCTAGCATAGTCATCGACCAATTATGCTGGGAAACAGGCACTGTTTTTTATTAGCATAAAACTGGCATGTGTATTATTCTAGCTAAACATTTTTCAAGCACATTGTTCTCAGCAATTGAAACTACAGCTGTCAAAAAAAAGTAATTTCTTTCAGTTTTAATATTTCTTTCAGTTTATATGTAAACACTTTTAAATCAAAACAGAGTCCAAAGTAGTACAACTTCAGACAAAATATTTTGCAAAATATATCTCAGCTTCCTTTGATGTTCCATACATGTTCAAAGGAAAATATTTGCATCATTCAGAGAATTTAACCATTACACAGACTAGGATCCCAACCAAATGGTCAATGAAAGCCTGCATAAGGGGAAAAGGAAATGTTGATTTTCATAAATAAAATATTTACTGTATTGCACATTACCTTTGCTATCACTATAATTATTGCAAATGATGTATACTAGCAAACAAACAACTTCTGGGATCATTCCATTTTTGTGGACATATCAATTGTAGGCATTGCATTACTAACACAGACATCAGGAAAATGGATTTAGGCAAATCTACTCCCCAGTAAAAGTCAGATAGGCTAGAATCTCCTGTAACAAGAATGTCACATTACATAAATATTTTCTTGTAATCCAAATGCCTCTTCCTCATCAGATAGAATATTTTGTTTTTATTGGCTTCAGGACATGTATGCAGTGTTCTAGCTCCTGACTCCTTTTATAAAAGAGTTAAGATGCCTATTTCCAGAATGCAGAGAATGCTAAAGAAAATAGCATGTGGAAATTACCTGTCAAAAGATTTTAAAGATTTTTAAAAAAATCATTAAAAGAATTTTTTTAAATTGCCTTATGCACTATCTGCATATTTTAAACATCTAAAGGAATAAATATTTTTGATACTGGGTCTCAAAATTGCAGTTGTAACAATCATTTGCTCTGCCCTTATTTCCAAAAAATTGTTATGCCAGCATTTTACCACCTTCTCAGGAGGTGATTTTTCAAGAGCTTTTGAAAACAAAGCTGTGTCGGTGATATTAATCATAATCCAAATGGCTAGTGTAACTAATGCACCGATGAAAAGATAGCAGCTGCAGTAGTCCAGGGATGAACCTGACTTTGACATTTCATTCACCTCTTCTTGGGCAAAGGTCACACAGCCCTTACTATACATCTCCATCTGTCTTCTGAATCCCTGCAAGTTGACAGAATAATAGTATGGTCTCTTGGTGGTCTGCAATACATACTTCCCTTTATCTATCCAATCACAATTCAGTCTTGCATAAGGAAACTCATTTTACAGGTATTCTGTCTACTGTATCCCTTCCTGGTCACCTGATCTAGGGACTGCTTTGCAACTCAGGTCATAATGACAGAGAGATTGTATCAGCCAGCTACTCATAGCTGCCAGGCTTTGAAACTACACTTGAGTCGGATGTAAATCAAACACAATGGAGGCACAGAACATTAAAGGCAGAAACTCTGTAAAACCAGTTGAGCTGATTAGTACTAAATTACTGATGTTCCATCTGCTAGGGTGGTAATATTTTTTTTAAAAAACTGCCTGTCTGCAATGCTTCATTTCACAAAGAGCCTATGTTCGATGAGCCTAAAGGGAACAATTTATGGTGATTGACAATGGAAGGAACTGGTGGCAAATACATAATTACTCTTTAAGGTTATCTAGAATTCCTATGTGCATGCTAATAAGTGTACACCTATCCATAATAAATACATATGTACAATTTTCAGTCTATTTTGCAGGTAGAAATTAAGAGGCCTCTCTGGCTGCTAACAAAAAAAATCTGTAGCAAAACTAGGTTTGTACAGTGCAATGCTGTTATTATCTCTTTCTTTTTTTTTCATTAGGAAACAAATTAATGTAATTAGATCTTTTGGGCTAAATTTCCAAATATGGAAAATTACAAGGACTTGAAAAATAAGTTTGTACTGCTTAAATAGGTAACTTTGCAAAAACCATTTTTCAGGAAAGAGCTAGCAGCCACATTACTAAGAGATGTTGTCACCCAGTGTGGTTGGGTAGATTTTTGGAGGTAAAACTAACAGCTGTATTAAAGTATCAGTGTCAGTATCTCAATCTAAAAGGCCAAGCTTAGGACGTTTGTTCTTAGCCTGACAACCAGGCTCACCTTAATGACTTATAGTTATCTACCAAAAATATCTAAATGCTTTTTCTCTCACATCCCATATTCCTGAAAAGATAGTATCACCCCATGAAACCTGAAACTACCCTCTCATCCTAATCTTGCCCTTTTTGATAAATATGTCTATAAAATCTATTTTGTAGAAAAATCACACATATAGAAAGGGCCTGTGAACAATTCCTAAAGTAATTAAATAATCAGTTTTAACACCCTACGGCATAGAAGCAGACAAAATAAAATAAATAATTTGAAATGATGCATTTCAACTACTGTCAGATGAGTAATTTAAAGTGCGTAGTTATGTCTTCCTCTCCCCAATATGCTAAAACTGTTTTTTAAAGAGTAACAGACAACAAATGAAGTCTATTCTTGTCCAGACATGAATATGGTTAAGAGTGTGAAAAGACAGCCATTCTTCAACAATATGTGTAAGCAGCAACCCATTTATGATAAAGAATGAAAATGGTCAAACAAAACATCTATTTTGAGCAAAATCAAATAATTAGAAATACTGTTCTACTATTCAACCAGCTCTCATCTACAAGAGCCATTAGACACAGCCCTGCATGCAGAAAATAAATATGGCTAACACCACCAAAAATGCACAACGCATTCAAGTTATGCATTGAAGAATAGTAGGAAGCCAGGGAAAATTAGCTGTCTATTTTGACTAGCTGACAGCAAGAGTTCCATGGGATTATGTTAGTCGTGCTGCTGTTATTTAAAAGCAACTACTTTTAAAGCACAAAAGCAAACTACTACTAATGTATGTATAGTACAACATGCAGTGCATGACTCTATTTTAGGGATATTGTCACCTACACTGTAATTAGGCTGAAGTATAAATTTGATAAATCTCATCTCCCCTTTGTTTCCATGACATAGCAGCACTATGGTACATGCTGTTAGATAAATGAAAATTTAAGTGACTTTCACTGTGTTCTTCGAAACAATGAAGATATTCCTTGTCCCTCTCTCCAAAAATTTCAGACTATATTGAGAGAGACGGGTGGGGGTTTTTTTTGGTTTATTATTCTCTCTCATTATGATTTTTAAATGACAGAAAAAATATTAATTAAAATAAACATTGATAATATCTGTTTATGCTCCGATCTGTTCTAGTAATTCAAAATGCAAACTACATATAGCTCAACTACTAGCTTAAAGTATAAAAGAATTTCAAAATGAAAATGTGGACTCCTAGCCTTTTAAAGCATACATAAACAGAACACTGTCCTCTTCATTTCCTGCTGTAGTACACACAGGGGAATAAAAAGAAAAAAGGAGAGGCCTTTTCTTGAAGAGAGGGGTGGCAGAGTTTGCAAAACTGAAGACAGGAAGAGTTCAAATGATTTGACTGTAATGTTCTTCTACATAACGAACAGAGAGTTATACTGTCAAAACAGACTCATTGAGTACACAAGGAGAATAACAAGGGTGAGTGCTCCAAGAAAAAGTGCACATGGAACTTTTCTTTAACGGGTTATAGTAACTTTGAAAAAAGATCTTTAAAGCACAAACATGTTCTTGGAAATGCAAACATACTACATAAAGACAAGGCCAAAACAATTTTAAGGGAAGCTCTAGCTGTGTGCTAGTGTCTAGCATTCACCTCTAAAAGCACAGAAGCAACATCATGCAGATCAGGAGGAAGATGTATTTAAAAACAGATGGGCTAAAATATCAAAGGTTGAATAAAAGGTTTCAGTCATTTTTCCATGTCTTGCTAAATGGCATAATGACTGCATTAGACTTGTATCTAGATCACAGGTCTTGAATCCTTGGCCATTGTAAATGTGCACATCTGCACAACTGGATGGTAATTAGATACCACAGTGATAGGTGCATTAGAAATGCATTGACAGAATTCTAACTCATGTCACTAATATATAATTGCTGAATGGAGTTCAGTCAATTTGAAGATAAAAGGCCAATGCTTGTTCACTAAAGTATCCAGCTCCTTGCACGCCAACAAAAATACTCAAAGTATATTTCCTTACTTCAAAAGTCAAAAATATTGTTTGTGCATCAAGAAAAAATTATCTTACCTTGCAACATCCTTAAGTAGTGAGTATGTCAACAAAGTTATCAATGAAGGAGCAAATAAGGGAACGGCAGAATACTCATTTGCACATTAAAACAATTAGAAAAACTGGCAAGGAAAATGAGATTTAAATTGTCAGGCTACTTGGCAGTCCTTATTTATGTTCTGGCCCTGCTGGAGTGATTAATTCAGGAATGTCCATACAGATCAGATACTCAAACATCTTAAAAACACAGAACAATAGTCTTTAACCACTGTTAAAAGTTCTGGGACAAGGATATGTGAGCCTGGAAAACCTTTCATAAGAAATATATTATCTTCAAAGTTTTAAAATGTTTATTTTAATATAGATCTAAGGGTGGGTGCTAAACAATGGGCCAGATTCATAAAGGGACTTCATTATGGCAACAAGGAGTATTTCTATTCCTAGAAGTTAGGTGTCTTAGTCTAGAAGTAAAATTCAAAAGCCCAAATCAGGTACCTAAGCTCTGTATTTGTTAAATGGGAATGAGTTTGGCCCCTAGAACTGAGTTTCCCATCAAGTATGGGGAAGTGTCAGCCAGCCAATAAGAGATGATAGCGTAAGAAGAGGGGGAGGAGGGAAGAAAGGAGGCCTCCCCTTTCATCTCTTCCAGATTTAGACATTTAAGTGCGACTGGGGTTCAGAGCCTGAAATTCCTGCAAACACATAGGCCAGGTACAGACAGTACACTTTTACTGGGTATACGTGATTGGAAACCAGTCAATACCCATAACAGACCAGAAGTTTTGCACATATACACTGATTTAAAAATGACAGAACCCAGTCTAAAATTTGCCCACCCTATTTTCCCCTGCCAAAGGTGAATGTGTGTTCTGTTCGCTACTGATCTAAACTACACTGTTTATAGAAAACTATGTAACTTACATTGATTCTCCCCCAGCTTTGTGAATGTCAGTACCTAGCCCTTTTGGCTTTCGTGTATAAGGTATACTTTCACATAAAGGTGACTGGCTCTCTCTTCTTTTTTAAGACAAAACAAAAGAAAGAGGAAGGGGCTGTGATTCTACCTGTCTTTGGTAAAACATCCTGATGGTTAGAGCACGTGCTGAGAAAGTAGGGCACCTGGATCCTAAGGCCTTCACAGCCTGAGGAGATTTTATTTTGGAGTAATTAAATAAAATGTGGAAGCAGTGCTTGGCGCATGGCTAGAACACAGCAGTCTTTCCACTAATGATGGGAAGTTTAATCATCACTAGTCTATAAAGTCATCCATCTGCTACTTCCTGTTTCTGGCTCTGTGAATCTTCTAATTTTTGTAGCAGAGACCCACACTCAACTGAGGATGTGAATGATGGCTCTATAACCCATGTCAACCATTTCTTGAACAAGTACTCTAGTCACTCTAACCACTCTAGCCAAACTCAAAATAAAAGGCTGTATCCTGTCCCCCTCCCCCCCAATTTTCCCTTACAATTTGAATAAGGTCAGATACAACACTTTTGCTTCCTAGAAAGAGTTTTTGACTAGAAAGAGTTTGTTTAACTGCTAAATTTAAATAAGGGTCTTTTTATTATCATTAATTCTCACTGTTTTTTAAGACAGTGTGGAGCCATATGCTTTACTGGTGTATTTGGTGTCAATAGAACTACATCAATTTAAACCAGCCAAGGATTTTGTCCCCATTTATTTCACAAGTCCTTCATGCAAGTTGATAAAATTTTATCAAGATTCTGACTCCTATATAGGTTGGTTTATGCTTTCCTGTGTTATCCTTTTTCTCTGCTGTTAATTCCTCACTATTCTCTCTTTGGCATGAGAGACTGTCCAAACTAAATACAAGCTAAAGATGTTGCTATTGGGATGCAGAGTATATTTGTGTGTGTGTGTTCTACATGTGCACACACAGACATACTACATGTATGCAGTGTGTCTTTGTGTGTGTGCATATATATACACACACACATACATTATAAGCTTTTTCAATATGAATACAGCCTGTCATGCATTGCAAAATACACAATTTTTTTTCAAAGAGAAATAAAATCCATTCACCAGTAACGCACACACACAATGTGGTTCCCATTCTCAAAAAAGGGAGGAAGGAGGACCCAGAAAACTATAGGCCAGTAAGTCTTACCTCGATTCTGGGGAAGCTTTTTGAGAGAATTATCATAGCGCATGTCCACGAGGGGCCAGCAGGAGAGATTATGCTTAGGGGCAACCAACACGGATTCATTAGAGGCAGGTCCTGTCAGACCAACCTGGTGGCCTTCTATGACCAGGTCACCAAACCCTTAGATGCAGGGGTCACAGTGGACATAGTCTTTCTGGACTTTAGGAAGGGCTTCAACACTGTCT